TAATGAAATTAAATTTATAATTAAAAAAATGGAGAACCAAAATTATATATTCAAAAAATTATAGAGATAAAAGTGAATTTTTTAAAAAATAAATGCAATATAATAGTTTGTAAAACTAGTTAAGAAATACCTAAACAAAGGAGGAAATCAAATTAAAATATCGTCGATAAATTTTAAATCAAACACTAGTTTATTATTTTTCATTAGTTGTGATTTGTGCATCTTGAATATTCACAACAAAGTTTTGAAATTAACCCTAAATACTGAAGGCGATGATTGAGTAAAGTCATCTATAAAGTAACAATTAAAAATCTCATATTCTTGGGACGCAAATGAAATTTGGCTAACTTTTAACGTAATTATTTTCTTTATATAAATTAGAATAATTATTATGTTTGAAAGATGAGAATATTCTTAGTTAATTTTTTTATATAAGCGTTTGCTAGAAAAAACTCAACCTCTTAACTCTTACGATTTATTTCTTATTTTAATTTTATATTAAATATAGTATTTAAAATTTATAAATAATTAAAAATATGTTTGCACGTAGTATAAATTATTTATTATAAATCATAATTATAACTAGTTAAAAAGAGACGATCCATGTCTCCTTGTTTTTAGAATATAAAAATAAAATATAAAGCGACATAATATAATAAATAATTACTTAAAATAAAATGGGACGAGACATTTATTGAATAAAATTTTAGTGGAGTGGAAAAGAAAGAAAAATAAAACTAAATAAAAAGAATATTGAGAGAGAAGAGTATTTTAAAAAAATAAAAAGTAAAACGCTAAATAGCATTATTAATGAAACATTGTTTGATTTTTATATAGAAAAATTATATCAGGAGTCAGGACCTTTTGAATAATGTAAAATATATTTAAAAAATGAGTTGATAAAAGTAAAATTAAGAAGGTATAGTGATAATTAATTAGTGAACGTGGTTATCTAGCGCAAGGGAGGTTTCCCGTTTAGGGAGCAGAGTCGCTTTCTGGAGCGGTGTAGGTTTGACTGGTAAGTGGGTAGGGTGTTATGAGATTGAGGGAAGCACGTTCAGATTCTCCGTTTTATTTTGGTCCCTCCTAATCCCAATTCATCACACCGTCTTCCGCTTTATCTGTTTCATTTATTTGAATTCATCATATCGCAATTGGCGCGTCATGTTCATGCCTCGCACTTCCCATCTTAGACTTGTCCATTCCATGCCCTATCAAATCAGATGGAACGTTGCACACCCATCTAAGTAAGCCTTTTCATAGATATGTAGTTATTATTGATTGATTTAACAAGTGTTTAAGAAAGTCTTGAATATTACCCTCAAATATATTCTTTAAAAGGACAATAGCTATGCATATGCTTTGTTAAAATTAGGTCCAAATTCTAATCCTGTTTTGTAAGAGTTGGATCATGGATGTACCTTCTGTTCCATTCCACTGCACCATTGGCTTCTAGTTGACGAGGCTCAACGACTAATTTAGTGCACTTTTAAAAATAAATTATTAAAATGGGGTTGTTTTAAAATATATTATACTTTTTGGGTTGCTTTTTTGGGTGTGACACGTGTTTTTTTTTTTTTTTGTCTTGATTGGGCTGTGATGAGCCACATCAGTGTCGCTATGGGCTGAACCACCACCGTTGATGGACTAAAAAAAATAAGGCAGATGATAATCACACCTCCACTCTCGTATAAACACACCTCCTTTTAAAAAATATATATATAAAATGTCTAAATTACCCTTAAAAAAATAAAATTCCTAAATTTACACCTCCTTCCCCACACCTCCGTTCTCCGCACCCCCTTCCCCTCACCCCCTTCCCCTCACCCCCGTTCCCCTCACCCCCCTTTCCCTTCCCCTCACCCCCCTTTCCCTTCTCCGCACCTCCGTTCCCCGCACCCCCTCTTTTCTTTGCTTTGTTCAATAGAGTCTTACCAAACAAGACTGACTTCTGACCAACCCGCGAAGGGTTGTGAAGTTGGACCAGGTATGAAGAATGAATCTATATCTGTGTACGGTACGGAAGTTGCTGGCCGGCGGCCGCTCAACTGTTCGAGCGCAATACAGTGGTGGTTGGTTCCGATTCGACAAGGGTAGAATGCCTGGTCGAAGGTCCAGTACAGTAGGTAGCAGGCGTGTTCGTTTTGGCTCCCGAGCGAGAACGATAAATAGGCGCTGCACCATTCTTGCTGCTATGTACGTGAACCTTGACTTGAGAGATTCATCCAATGGAACCCACACTCAAAGGAGGACCACAAGCTCGGGGCTCGACGAAACAGAAAATATCAGCATTAAGAAAATTATTGGGGTTAGCAGCCTCATGCGACGGATTTTCTGGTCCTCGAGGTCGAGAGCGGCGTCATGGTGGTGGTAGTGGTGGTGGTGCGGGGAAGGGGGGTGCGGGGAACGGGGTGCGAAGAAGGGAGTGTAAATTTAAGAATTTCATTTTTTAAGGGTAATTTAGACATTTTATATATTTTTTTTAAAAAAGGGGGTGTGTTTATACGAGAGTGGAGGTGTGTTTATCATCTGCCAAAAAATAATGTAGTCCATAGCGATACTCTATAAAGAAAAAAAAAACGAGAATAATAAAATAATATTATTTTTAAAATTGGCGCTATGGGCCATAGCGCCTTAGTGGAGCTATGGGCCATAGCGCCCCCCGGGTTTTTTTTTTCGTTTTTAAAATATTTTCACATTATATTACTAAATTTTTAAAAATTATATTTTTTGTTATTTCATTTATTTTTTTCGCTTTTATCCCAAATTTTTTTATAAATTTTTAAACAAATTTTATATTTATAAAATAATAGTTATATTTTTATAACTTGCGCTATGGGCCATAGCGCCTCAATGGAGCTATGGGCCATAGCGCCCCAGGGTTTTTTTTTTTGTTTTTAAAATATTTTGACATTATATTACGAAATTTTTAAAAATTATATTTTTTCTTATTTCAATTCTTTTTTTCGCTTTGATCCCAAATTTTTTTATAATTTTTAAAGCAAATTTTTAAATTTTAAAAAAATAATACAAAATAAATAAAAAAGGCTCCATGGCCCATAGCGACTTCATTTTTTATAAAATTTTATTAAATAATTTATGTAGATGTCGTGTCGCTATAGGTGATGGAGACTCTTGTAGTATATATCCCCCCTCCTTTGTGGTAATTCACATCCATATCTGAAGTGTAATTGTTGTTTTTGTTACTGTATTTTGTTATTTATCCACTAAGTCAGTCTGGTTGGTTCTTTGTTCATGTTAATTTGAGTTTTAGATTCTTATTTATGATTCAAATTTTTGTAGTTTAAATAAGTTCTATGTATTTGTACTAATATTTTAATTTTTCTGCAGATATTATGGATCAAATTATAACTTATATTTACACCGGAAGGATGTATGAAAGTCTAGAAGGTGTAACATTTGATGGATCAAAAAAAGTGATGTATTATATTTAATTAAAATTTGCTGGCAGATTTAATAAAAATAATTTCATAATTCAAATAAACCAATTATAATAAGAAAAAATTAATTAAATTATCAGTTATAAAATAAATATGATTAATTAAATAAAATTAAATGGCAGATTTAATAAAATTATTTTACGAATAATTGTATTTTTTTTAAAATTATTTTTTTCACTACAAATTAATTTGCAATTAACTCGGATTATTTATAATATTAATTTACATATTTTTTTTTTATTTTATAAAAATAACTAATATAACAGATAAATAAATTAATTTAAAAACAAATAAAATTTAAGAATTAAATAAGAACACAGATAAATAAAATAATTTAACAGATAATTAATATTGCATAAATAACACACAATCCAAATAAATAATTTAAATATAAAATAACTTTATTATTTCAAATAAACCAATTATAATGAGAAAAATTAAATAAATTATCAGTTATAACCAACTTAAAATAAATATGAGTAAACATAAACAAAATACAGAATTAAAAAATAAATAACAATTATTAACTAAATAAAATATGCAAAGTTAAATACCCTATAGAGACTTTCTTATTATAAAAAAAAAATATAACCTCAAAATAAAATTTACCTCAAACGAAGAAACTCACGAGCAGCAGAACTCCAAATAAAAAAATACCTAATTAAAACGTTAAAATTATTATTTACCTAAACATCAAATATATTTAAAATATCTAATAAAATAAAATCATGAAAACTAAAAAATAAAGAAGAGAAGAGAAACTTACTGGAAGAGGAAGGAAACGTGAAAGTGAAAGTGGGGGAGGGGACCATCTCGGTCATTTTATAACTGTAAAAATCAAATTTTTAACCCAAGCTGCCATGTGTCAGCTTCTCATTAGTCACGCCTGCGGTTAAATTCACACGTGGCAACCAGCAGTCGGGCATTAAAGGAGGCGCTATGGGCCATCGCGCCTGTGGGGCGCTATGGGCCCTAGCGGCCCAGTTTTTATATTTTTTTTTTGTTTTTAATTTTTTTTTTCACATTATATAACTTATTTTTTAAAATTTACATTTTTTCTTATTTCAATTCTTCTTTTCGCTTTTATCCGAAATTTTTTTATAATTATTTTATCAATTTTTATATTTTAAAATTTTTTAAATAATTTGAACCAGGCGCTATGGCCCATAATGCCTCACTTCCACTATGGGCTATAGCGCCCCAATTTTTTCATTTTTTTTCGTTTTTAAATTTATTTTACATTATATTACTTATTTTTTAAAATTTACATTTTTTCTTATATCAATTCTTTTTTTCGCTTTTATCTGATATTTTTTTATAATTATTTTATCAATTTTTATATTTTTAAAAAATTTTAAATAATTTGAAACAAGCGCTATGGCCCATAGCGCCTCACTTCCGCTATGGGCCATAGCGCCCCAGTTTTTTCATTTTTTTTCGTTTTTAAATTTATTTCACATTTTAATTAAGCCGAATTAAGTTGCTATAGGCTATAACAACTCTTTAAAGGTCTCCACCAGCTACAGCGACTCTACTAATATGGCGTTCATGGCTTATAATCAGACCCAAAATTGCCACGTGTCATGGGTGTCGCTATGGGCCATAGCGACACCTAAGAAAACTACCCCAAAGGTGTAATATGTTTCAAAACAACCCTATTTTGGTAAATAGTTTCTAAAACTGCTCTATAATGGTCGTTTAGAAAAATTTATAAACAAATTTGGGATAAAAGCGAAAAAAAGAAATGAAATAACAAAAAATATAATTTTTAAAAATTTAGTAATATAATGTGAAAATATTTTAAAAACGAAAAAAAAAACCTGGGGGGCGCTATGGCCCATAGCTCCACTAAGGCGCTATGGCCCATAGCGCCAATTTTAAAAAGGCTAATGATATACACACCTCCACTCTTGTATAAACACACCTCCTTTTTAAAAAAAAAAAATATAAAATATCTAAATTTCCCTTAAAAAAAATAAAACTCCTAAATTTACACCCCATTCCCCGCATCCTCCTTCCCCACACCCCACACCCCACACCCCCTTCTTCCTTCTTCTTAAAGTCTATTTCCGCTCAATGTCTCCGGTGCCGCCTCGTCCCGGGATGCCCGCTCCGCCACCGCCTCGCCCCGGCATGCCACAACCACCTGGAGGTGGTGTTCCAGTACACCTCTTCTTCCCGGCGAGTTTACGCTGCCATTGCCGGAGAAAACTTGGTTGGTCGTAGCAGCAGTGAGTCCACCTCTTCTTCTTACTCTTCTTCCTCTTCTACTTCCCCGGATCGTTCTCATTCCATTAGTCTTTCTCCGCCGGTGAGCATAAGCCCCAAAAGATCACAGCCTAAGTCGCCGGAAAATACCATGACCCACCATTCTCCGTCGCCGACGCTGTCGGCGACGGCGACACACTCGCCATCCTTGTCCACACTCTCGTCTCCGTCGCCGGTTTTCGGTCAGCACGTGCCTTCGTCGGCAATGTCGTCGTCGCCGGAGCGGAGGGAATGCCAGTCTCCGTCGCTCTCGCAACTCTCTCTGTCGCCGAAGAAAAACCCAGATGGTGAATCTGGCCCGGGACACGTTGTGCTTGAAAAGACGGATTCTTTTAGCTCATCTAAGGAGAAAAACAAAGGTGGGTCGCCGAGACTGTCGAATGCTTCTTCTATTGGGAAGTTGTCGGCGTTTTCTCTATCGTTGCCTGAAAAAGGAATGAACTTGCATCACGGGTTGGATCAGTCTCCGACCATATCCGATGTTTCAGATCGGTATCGGCATTCTCCTCTTTCATCACAGCCTCTATGCCGACGTTGATTTCGTCACTGGAGATAGAGTTGAACCCTCAGCCTCAGCCTCAGCCTCAGCCTCAGCCTCAACCACCACCTTCTCGAAAGCACTGGGAGATTCCTGACTTGTTGACCCCAATTAGCGAATCACCAAACTTTTCAGCTCCACAGAGGAAACTGAAATCATGTACTAGAACACCACCTCCAGGTGGTGGTGGCATGCCGGGGCGAGGCGGTGGCAGAGCGGGCATCCCGGGACGAGGCGGCGCCGGAGGACCCCTTACTATCTTGAAAGTTATTTGATGACATTGAGCGGAAAGAGACTTTAGGAAGAAGGAAGAAGGGGGGTGTGGGGTGTGGCGTGCAGGGAAGGAGGGTGCGGGGAAGGGGTGTAAATTTAGGAGTTTCATTTTTTTTAAGGGTAATTTAGACATTTTATATATTTTTTTTAAAAAAGGGGGTGTGTTTATACGAGAGTGGAGGTGTGTTTATCATCTGCCTTTTAAAAATAGTATTATTTTATTGTTCTCGTTTTTTTTTTCTTTACAAAGTGTCGCTATGGGCTACATTGTTTTTTTTTGTCCATCAACGGTGGTGGTTCAGCCTATAGCGACACTGATGTGGCTCATCACAACCCAATCAAGACAAAAAAAAAAGCCACGTGTCATGGGTGTCGCTATGGGCCATAGCGACACCCAAGAAAACAGCCCCAAAGGTGTAATATGTTTCAAAACAACCCATTTTAGTAATTTGTTTTTAAAAGTGCACCAAATTAGTCGTTTAGCCTCTTATCTTGCATTAAAAATAAAACACATTTTGAAATATTTCTTAAAACAAATTTTGGCTAGAGTCTGAATGTAGTTTTCAATGTTAATTTATAATATATATTTTATTGAGACAGGGAGATGCCTCTATTATTTAAAATAAAAAATAATAATATAATAGATGATTAGTTGAAGATTTATGAATAAAAATTAAATAAAAAATAATGGGAGGGAGTATGTTGAAAGTAATTATAAGAATAAAAATGTCTACAAATTTGTACAATCAAAATCAAACTATTATCTTTATATTATTAATGAGGTCGAAACACTTTATGTTTCTATATTTTATAAAAGTGTTAAAAATTATCAATATTTAATAAATTAATTGATATTACATTTGATTTTCAAATTTAAAGATCTTTAGTTCAAGTCTTATCTTTATAATAATGATTAATTTTTAATATTATCTTTATTATTTAAAAACTTAAGAGTAAAATTGTATAAAAAAGTATGTACACCAAGTGGATTTTTATTGTATTTGTATGTTATAGATATAAGTTTAAATATGTTTATAATCATTGTAAAATGAGTAGTTTTGATTTTGACCCCTTAAAATTAAATAAAAAAATAATGGGAGAGAGTATGTTGAAAGTAATTATAAAAATAAAAATGTCTACAAATTTGTACAATCAAAATCAAACTATTATCTTTATATTATTAGTGGGTCGAAACACTTTATGTTTCTATATTTAATAAAAGTGTTAAAAATTATCAATATTTGATAAATTAATTGATATTATATTTGATTTTTAAATTTAAAAGTCTTCTATTTAAGTCTTATCTTTATAATAATGATTAATTTTTAATATTATTTTTATTATTTAAAAACTTAAGAATAAAATCGTATAAAAAATATGTATACCAAGTGGAACAATCTTTTTTTTTATTGTATTTGTATGTTATAGATATAAGTTTAAATATATTTATAATCATTGTAAAATGAATGGTTTTGATTTTGACCCCTTAAAATAAACAAATTTTAGTTTTAGTCTTTATAAAATATTGTCTTTCACTTTCATTCTTCTAAAATTTAAAGTCATTATTTTTTATCTCTATACGAGGAGGGTTCAAACGACACCGGTGTAACTTTAACTAAGTGTTACACCGCTTAATAACTTTATATTAATTATGAATTTTGTAAATCCAACCGTTAGATTGAAAGTTCATATCTCTTAGATCATATATACAAAATTTTATATTAATCCAAGATGATTTGATACTTCATTCTTATAAAACAAAATTGACGTAATATATTTATTTCAAAATATACTAAAATATGAACACTTTGATTACCCTCAAGTTGTTGTTCAATTTTAACAAATTTACAAAATTCATAACTAATATAAAGTTATTGAGAATGAAGCCTACTAAATGGGAAATGAAACCTTTATATTTAATGGGACACACATATACAAGTAATTCCATGTAACAGAAAATACTGTGTTGTTAATATTTTTTAAAGTATTTCTTTGCCCATTATATTTTAGTCCTGCTGTACTCTTAAATCAATGTACTGTACCAACATATGTTATTAGAGTAAAATTGAACTCGAATATTTAATGAATTTCAAGTTCAATTTTTATGAGTAAAAATAAATTGATTAAAGCGAGATCACATTAAAAATAATTAATTAATTTTTTCAACATCATTTAATTATCGAAAAATTGGACATTTTTAATTATACATAGAAAAGGCTAATATTTAATGTTATATTAATAAAATATTTATAATTTTCACAAGAAATTTATTTGATCCCTAACCTTTTTATTTATTGTTTTTTAACATGAAGATTTGGTTTGAGAGAAAAAATTTAGTACAAATAAATATATAAATATTTAAAATAAGTGCATGATCTTGTTTCAATGAGTTTGTCCAACTCATTGTCATAAGCATAAGACAGAGTTCAATCAATTTTCAAGTAAAGCTAGGCTAAATCAAATTAAGACAAAAATTAATTTTTAGGACCAAAATTATTTACCAAGTTTTTTGGGCCATCTCATCATGCTTGAATCATTTGGATGCTTTGGACTAAAATTTCAATGCAGAAAGAGCAAACCCACTCCATGAAGTAGGTTTTCCCTTTTTAACTCAATCTAACACCACCATGATAACGATTCCTCACCACAATACCAATCCACATCATGTGTGTTCATTTTTGCAAATAGATGCGATGTTATGCGAATCATGCTTCTTTTTTCCTCTCATCGTATGAATGGTAATAAAGTCTTGCATGCGATGTTTAAAAGGAGGAAACAATATTATGTATTTAGACTTGTGTGTAAGTTGAATTATTGTTTTAAAAGGAGATGTGTCTATTTTATAACTAATTTTACCATCTAATTTTTAATTACACCTGACAAGAAATGTCAGAGCGTGAGAATGCAGATCAAAAGAGAGATCATAGCCCTTGTCCACGAGAGTTGCTAAAAAAGTTTTTCATTCGACATAAAAATAAAATAAAAAATTGTTCTACTTACTGTTTCACTTATTTTACTTGTTTAATCTTTATAATTTAAAATAATATTTTTGATTTATTTATTTATATTTTTTAATTTTTATAATTTAAAATGAATATTTTTAATCTTTATACTTATAATTTTTTTAATCTCTATTGTTGTTCTTTTTGTTATATTGTCTGTTTTGTGTTAATGTAATAAGCTTCAATTTTGTCAGGATTAAAAAGGTATATCAATAATCAATATTGCAAGTAAGGATATAAAAGGGACACAAAATATCAAGAAATATAATTTAAAGTAACTTCAGCAAAATAAATATGATTTAAGACATATAAAATTGAATTAATACATCTGTCATATTAACATGAATGAAAATAATATTATAAAAATAAATTTAATGATAAGGATTAAAAAATTTTAAAAAAATTGCATAGAATAAAAAAATATCTTAAATTGTAAAAACTAGAAAATATTAAAAAATAAGTATAAGTACTAAAAATATATTTTTAAAATTATGAAAACTAAAAGATAAAATAAATAAAATTATAAAAAATAAAATCATTTTTAAAAAAATATTACAATAGAGTCTTATGTATTAAATTTTTGGGCCAGCTATCTCATCCTTTGAAGTGTTTCCAATGTAGCGAGAAGATTAATCACTGTTATTGACGATTGATATTCCAGAAAAAAAAAAAAAGAAAAAAAAAAAGAGGTGGTCGATAAAGATTTGAGATATTGTTTATCGGTATATGGTGCAATGGCAAACAACAAAGGGGAGTGTCCCACAACAACGCTTTCAATGTCTACTTCCTAGTCTAGGGAAATTGCCCTCATGTTTCCCTTTTTGTTTTATCCAAATTCGTCTCCTCCTTCATTTTAAATCTTTAAATTAAGGGTCTGTAAATTTTTAATACTGCAATAAGGTTTTAGCTTCAGTTAGGGGTGTTGAAAAAAGTTAGAACTAAACTAAACCATATCTTAACTATACTAAACTATAAAACTAGGAAATTAAACTATAAAATAGTTCGAAAAAAATCAAACAAATTTTTTTCTAATTTAATAAATTATAGTTTTAATAATTTGAATTATACTGTGATTTAAACTAAACTAAACTTTTATTTTCCTGTAAATTTAACTAAGATATTATAAATAAAAAAAAATTATTCTCAAACTTATATTAATAAACTAAATTGTGTCTAACATGATTTAATTTGAAAAAAATTAAAATCTTTTAAATAATAAGTCAGTGAAAATCGTTTTTAAAAAATTACTTACAAAATAACCAAGACAAAATAATTCAAGTTCACATAAGAAGTAACTATAGAACTACTAGTTGATATTCTATCTCTACTTAAAATATACTTTATATCGAATTAAACTATTTTTATACTATAAATCATACTTTTTCTTGTAATTTGAATTGAATGAAACTGATTTTTATAGTAATTTAATTTTTAAAATCAAACTTATGTTCAATTTAATTTTTATAAAAAAAATAATTCAGTATTTTTTATAGTCTAATTCAATTTAGTTTTCTAATAGTATAACTTGAAGTAATTTTTGAACAATCTTATCGACTAACGAGGAATTTGTTTCAACTTGATCAATTTTTTCAAGTTTGAAGTTATATATAGATATATAATTGCATTAAATATTTAGAGAAAGAAATATGTGATTCGTGAAAAATAATTTTTTTTTTCTCTTTAAAAAATAGTGAAGACAAATCATACATGAACAAATAAATTAAA